TAATGGAATTCCGAGGAGTTCCATGTGCTTGAAGAGCCTAGTCATTCTTGCCACATGGGGTCGGAGGGGCATACCCGGTCTTAGCTTGGTGTTGCAGACCGTAGACCAAAGATGGTACCTCTCTTTAGTAAGACAGCCTTGATCTGATGGCTTCACATTCATGTTTGTAAGTGACCTAGTCACCTCAAACAAGAGTTCATCATTGTTGTTGTTGAAACTCTTAGAGAATCTCACACCGACAACATCCCTCAGTCCTCCAAGGAATAAGTCCGGAAAAGAGAATGAAAGTTTTTCTTTCCATTCTTCCGGGATGGAGTTAGCCATGAGTTGTGACACTATTTTGCAATCATTGGACCATGCATAATAAGTTTCGTCACTCAAGTCTTTCTTGGTAAGGAGAGTTGGGAGGGAAGTATCCAGAACATACTCCTTGGAACAACTCCGAAGAGTTTTCCTCAGTTCCTCTTCCCATTCTTCCAAGTTTGTCAAGTTAAGCTTGACAGCCAACTTATCGGGGAGTTCCGGGGACACATGGTTGTTGTTTGAGTTACTTGCAGACATTGTTCTACAATTGAAAGATTTGAAATGAAAAACCATTCATAAATCAATAAGTTGATATTTAAAAGCGTTCATGCAAATTTTCAATCTTATTGAGCATTTTATCCACGCATTAATAAATTGTCCCTTTAGGCGAGAATAAAATGATTCCGAGATCCCAAAGATCAAGAAATGGTTAAGCATGCTTTGGCTTGTATTAATCATTAAATATCTTAAGGTAAGCAATCCAATTGCTAATAGCTCCAAGCTACTCACGGTTTGATAAAATGTCGCATCTAATGCATCCTTGATATTTTATCTCTTTTGCCACGACATCTAAGGACTCCTTACTGATATCGTTGAGCTTAACCAAGACAACTTGTATACCTAGTATACCTTACGTTCCTAGGGAAGTAGTGATGCCTCGCTTTGGCGTAGCCCATCACATACGCGCATTAGTTCGGTAAGTGTTGTTCTTGGAACGACAAATTTTAGCTCAATATTATATCCCACCTAGGGTTTCTATGTTGGTTTGATTTAAGTGAACTTAACTAATCATCGCAACATATGAAATCCTAGACATGCATCTAACATTCATATATAACAATAATATATAAAGCATAAATTGATGCATTTGACAACTAGCATGACCCCTTGAAATCTTCAATTTCCATGGGTCTTCATCTTGGCTTGTCTTTATCGAAACGCCGTCTTGAGACATCTTGGCCAAAATAAAATAACTAGCTACTAGGACTAAGATTAATCTAAAGTACAAAAATACTTAACGGTTCGCAGACCGTATTTAGATTTATAAAAATACATAACGGAACGCAGTCCGTATTTTCTATCCTAGTCGGGCCCCACTAGTTGCCATTTTCAATAACCTGTTTTGAAAACAATCTTCCATTCACCTATTCACTATTTGTGAATGGCCCATGAAAATTACGAAATACATAATTAAACACGCAAAACTAGTAACTAACTTAGGTGGTTAATCTGATTAACGCGCTTAATTAAAACTAGTCAAAGTTGTTTAATCCATTATTTCTAAAAGCAAATTACTCAAGTAATTAACTAAGCTCCCACTAAATTCCGCATCCATACTTAATTAATCCGATTAATTAAGTCGGCATAACCCATAATTTGTCAAATTTTTGCAAAACCGAAAAATCGAGGTTTTAACCTCGTTAAAATTATTACTTAAAATTATTAAAATTGGAAAAATTGCAAAATCATAGCTCAAACGTTAAGCATAAACGTCCCACTAAAACCCTTAGTGGGTGCGCACCATGGCTGCTAGGCAGCCCATGGCCCTGCGCCATGGTGCGTGGTGCTGCTCTGCTATGCCCGGCAAGCCTCGCTGCTTAGCATCAGCTGCCTGCTAGCATGCTGCGCATGCTTACTAGCGTGCTAGTGCCTTCCAGCATATGGCGCGCTGGGCTGGCTCCTACTAGCATGCTGCCAGCCAGCATCCACAGGCAGCCCCACGCAATGTTGCGCCCAGCAACCTCCCTGCCACACAGCCATACGCATCGATGCATGGCCCTTGCGTGCACCATGGGCAGCCCGGCTAGCCTTGGTGACGCTTGCAGTGTTACATCGATTTGCGTGCATTTCACTCGAAATTTTAATTCCGATTTGTGTGTGACAAAAATTAATTCTAAATTACATTTTAGAATTAATTTGAGGAAAAATAAAATAAAATAAAATAAGTCTAAGTTAAAGAAATTTAATTTTAATGGTGCACAAGCCTAAATCATCCAAAAAAATTTATTTTTTGAACAAATTTAGGTCTTTCTTTACGCTTAAAATTAAATGAGCTATGTGCATAATTAATTTTGCCAATATGCAAATTAATAATGGATTTGACAAATGGGAGTTGGAAAAATAGATTAACCATCTAATGATAAAAATATTTTTCAACTTTCATACTTGTGTAAAATAACAAGATTACATCTTCCAATATGAAGATTAATCAAAATTTTACTCACAAGTATTTGAACTTCATGGATTTTAATCAACCAAAATGAAAAATCCAAACTTTGTTCAATATGGAATTTAGGGTTAGAGTTCCAATCATTTAAACCTTTAAAGATTAGAACTTTAACATACTTGGGAACTTAAAATTACACATTCACATCAAACAAGTTTATTGCAATTAATTTGCAAAATTTGTGAAAAACAAGTTTTTGTGAAAAAGGCATATCAACTAAAGCACTAATTAAAACTCTATAATTATGCTTAAGGATAATTTAAAAGGTAGTAGATTAGGGATGCAATAATGCATTTAATCTAACCTTGTAATGCTTGCATTAATCAAGGCTTAAAAAGATTTAAAATTTTCGTTGAAAAACGAAAAACCCCAGAAAAAATGGGTTTCTGGTTCGAATTCCACTTCTGGACAGCCCTCAAAAAGGGTTGAATCTGTTCCAGAATGTCGCCCAAAAATCACTATTTTTGAGTTAAAATCTGGGTTCGACAGCCAAATCGAAAAAAAAATACGAGTTTTAAAATTAATTAAAACGAGCTTCTAATCTAATTAGAAAAGAAAAACCAGAATTTAAATCTTACTTAAAACAACCTTAATTAAAAAATAATTGCAAAAACAAAAAGGAGCATGGCTCCGATACCGCTGTTGGGTTTCGTAGTGACCCACACTACGCGGAATGAAACCCGCCAAGACCCGCCCCCATAATAAATGCAATTAACAAGCAAAACATAATTAAATACAAGAAAGGATAAAAGATTATACCTTTGACGCGTGCTTCGCTCAACTATGAGCTCTTACTTGAACCCCGAAAATACGAGGTCTCCAACGAGATCGTACCCTCGAACCCGACCCGAGCGTCCTAAGTCTCGAAGGTTAGTCGAGACCCGGACAAATAAAACTATGAGTTTTACGAATCAAGGTTTACTCAAATCAAGATTTGCCTTTTAATTCCACTCAAGGTTATCCCATTCCCAATACCTTAGCAAGGTATTTATAGGAAATTAGGTCCTTGATTTCCAATCTCCCACCAATGTGGGAGAGTTGGTAAAATCAATAATTTATTTAATTCCAAATTAAATAAATAATTAAGTTAATCACATTGCGACAAGTGGCACAATCACATGCTAATGAGTGATGACCAAGGTTAGGTGGGGGGAGACCATTTTCCTTACCCCCCAAGGCCTTTGATTGGTCCGCACAATCATGCACAAACCGGCACAAGGCTGCTGGGCTGGCAGCCAGCTAGCGTGCCAGCTAGCGCTCCCAGCTAGCACTGCCCAGCTGCCTAGCATCCCCAGCCAGGCAGTGCGTGCTGGTGCTGGGCGATGCTTGGCGCTGATGCTGCGTGCTAGTGCTGGGCGCTAGTTCACTCAATGCTGGCACTGGCCCCCAGCACTCCCACACAATCCCTCGCACATACTAGCAGCCCTCGCACACGCTCTACGCATAGCCACTCGCACCCTACGCACAGCCAGCCCAGCCAGCGTGCCTAAGCATGCAAGGCCCTAGCATGCGTGCTGGGCGATGGTGCACATGCATACGCACGCACGCAAGCCCTTGGCATAGCGATGGTGTTGTGCGTGGTGCTAGGCCTGCGATGGTGCCTGGGTTGCATGCTGCGATGGTTCGATAGGCCTAGGCACAAGCACACGCACATGCGCATAGGCCCAGCATTGCGATGGCTGCGCTTGGTGCGTGTGGCTTGCAAAGGTGCCTAGGCACTCGCACTCGCCCAGCGTGCTGTGATGCGAGGCAAGCACCCATGCTAGTACTTGGTGCTAGCGATGGTGCTGCCATGCTAGGCACGCACGCACGCCAGCACCTAGTGCCAGCGATGGTGCGCCTAGCACACCTAATGTGCTTAGGCTTGCGCCTAGCCATGCTAGGTGCATGCTAGCTCGAACTAGCCTAGCATCCACACGGTTATACTATTGTGATGCTACGGCTACGCTCGTACTTGTCGCTTGTGATTTTGCGACGCTCGGCCTCAACGCCCTAGGCTCGATATCCGACGTCTGTATTCGTAAAACTCTGTCGACTCATTAAATCCTTTCAGATTAATTCGTCGTCTCGGATCGGTAGTTCGATTGGGTTTGACCCGAAGGGTTCAGTTAAGATTAAGCTGTAATATTAATTATACCTTAATATTACTGATCGGAAGCGGCCTCTACCTAGGCATTCCGATCACTTGACCTTACTGAAGAATTAGCTCTGCAATAATTCTGAACCCTCTATCAGAATAATACACTTGTTGGAAGGACACCATTCCTTTCATCAAAAGGTAAATATCAAACAAAAGAGACCACAAGGGACCGTGCAGTCATTAGAGGTCCTTGGCTGGAAGTAGGATTTCATTTCAATGGATTTTGATACTTGCCTTCCAAAGTCCAAGAGTGGAAATGATACCATCTGGGTTGTGGTGGATAGACTTAACAAATCAGCAGTGTTTATACCAATGAAGGAGACTTAGAAGATGGAGCAGCTTGCAAATGCTTATATCAAAAATGTTGTGAGGTTAAATGGAGTTCCAAAGGATATTGTGTCTGACAGAGACTATAGGTTTCTTTCAAAGTTCTAGAAAAGTGTTTAGGAAATCTTTGGTACGACACTAAAGATCAGTACAGCATATCACCCTTCCATGGATGGACAAACTGAAAGAATGATTTAGACTTTGGAAGATATGCTAAGAGCATGTGTTATTGATTTCCAAGGTAGATGGGAAGATAAATTGGACTTAATTGAGTTTTCTTATAACAATAGATACCATGCGAGTATTGACATGACACCATTTGAGGCATTGTATGGAAGAAAGTCTTGTAGCCTTGTGTGTTGGAACGGCATAAGTGAAAAAATGATTTTAGGGCCTCAAATGATAGAAGATACAGTCAAGAAAGTGAAGGAGATTCAAGCTAAGATTCAAGCGGCGCAGGACCGTCAAAAGAGTTACGCAGATTCGAAGCGTAGAGAAGAAGAGTTTGAAGTTGGTGACAAAGTGTTATTGAAAGTGTCACCAATGAAAGGTGTCATGAGATTTGGGAAGAAAGGGAAACTTAGCCCAAATTCCATTGGTCCATATGAGTTATTACAAAGGATAGGCAAAGTAGCTTATAGGTTGGCCTTACCTATGGAGCTGACCAAGGTGCACGATGTATTTCATGTGTCTCAATTGAGAAGGTACATACCTGATAAGTCACATGTTTTACAACCCAAAACAATAGAGTTAGACCAAAGCTTAACTTATAGGGAAAGACAGGTCAAGATCCTTGATAGCAAGGTGGGTATTGCACGCAACAAAAAAGTTAAGATTGTTAAGGTGCTATGGTCTAACCAAGAATATGAGGAAGCAACTTAGGAAGCTGAGGATGAGATGAGAAAGAAGTACCCTGATTTGTTTAAGGTATGTTGAGTTACGGGGATGTAACTCGTTTTCTTTAAGGGGGGTAGAATGAGGTAGAATTTCGCGCTTTTTCCTTGAATTCTCTTTAATTTTAGTGCTTTTGCACATTTTTAACAGTAATTTCAAGTATTTTGGTTCCAAGAAGACATTAAAGGTAAATGTATGTCAAAAGAGTACAATAATATTACACAAAATGAGGAAACAGGTTTTCAAAAGTTGGTATTCTTTCACTCATTGAGTGTGGGCTTTGTTTTTCGTTACCTAAGTTTCGGGGACGAAATTTCTTTTAAAGGGGGTAGACTGTAATACCCCGTATTTTAATACGGTTTATAAATTAAAGTATTATTTTATAACGTATTTAAATAATTTGAAATGAATTATTTGTGGTATTTTAACAATTTAAAAAGGGTTATTTAAATAAAAACCCATCAATTTAATTATTTAAATAGTTTTGAAAACATTTTTATTTCTATATTAATAAGTTTGGGGCATATTTAATTTATAAAGGAGTTTAAAGCCAAAGGAACTTTAAATAAAGTCAAAAGACCACTTTGAGTGGAAGTGGAAATCATTAAGGGTAAAAAGAGAAAAATCAAGTAGGAAGAGGGTTTTAGAGAGGAGTATAATACTCACCCAAAAGCAGAAATCAGATTTTGCCCAAGGTGGTAATTCCAAAGAGGTAAACTCTCTCTCTCTCTCTCCTCTCTTATTTTTTCTGCTTAGTTTCCCTTCTCCTTCACCTCACACGCACCACCCACACATACACACACCTATAGGTGGCCGGCCACCATCACCACATCCCACTGGCCGGCCATCGCCGCAAGCAGTAACCGGCAGCAGTAACCACCTTGGTTTTTTTTTAAAAAAAATTTATTCTTGTTTTTAAATTCGATCAAGCTTTGATTAATTATTGATTTTGGGTATTGTGTGATGAAATTATGATGTTTTAATTAATGTTTAATAAATATGATTTTCAGATTTGTTTTTTATGAAAAAGCCCCAAATTGCTTAAACCCTAGGTTTCTAAATTGTTGTTCATTGAAATAAATTAATTGTGGTTGATTAATACTATTGAAATTAATATTTTTAAATTAAATTACAGCAACTTTAAGGGTTTTTTATATTGCTGGAATTTTTATGTAGAGGCTAGATTAAAGTTTTCTTGAAAGGATTTTAATTACCCATTATTTGGGAATACAATTAAGTGGTTCTAGGTAATTTTCTGCATGTTATAGAAGGTTTAAAAGTGTTTTAAAATGTGTTTATATTGCTGAAAATTTAATACGAATAGGTATTAATGTCTCTTGGTAATTGTGGGTTAAAGGAGACTTCCAAGTGAGCAATTTTGAGTAGTTGTCGTGGCGATTTTGAGATCATAAACGAGGTACGTACGCGTACTCGATATGATTTAAGCGTGTAGAAGCATGCAAGGAATTATTTTGATTGATTCCAATACTAGTATCATGTTAGAAAATGGTTGAATTTGTGAATTGATTGATTTATGGATGTTCGATTGGTTTTAATGACTTGTTTGATGATGCGTGGTTGGTTGAAAAAATTATTGATAGGAATTGATTATGTTGGCATGTTGTATATGGAACACACTTTTATTATTGGCATCATTGAAGGTATGTTTAATTAAACTAAATGTTTGATTTGGTTGAGAATATAAAAAGGGAACTTTATTATGGTTCATATAATTTTTATTGATGTTATAAGCATGGGAATTGAGCTATTTAAGTGTCAATGAACACGAGGATTAATTTATATTTTGGTGCCTAAGTGCACTTAAGGTGTTTCAAACACTGAGGGATAGGATTTTCGGTGCATTATGCGCTTATGGTGTTTCTACACCGAGATATTCTAAAAAGGGTTCAACAATTAATTATTTGTGCTCACTAAATATTCAAGAATTAATTTTTAATGTTTGGTTGATTGAATGAATTGTATTGATGGTTTGTTTTGTGGATTGAGATTCATCACTTAGTTTAAAAATATGTAAATCACGTAATGTGAAAGAAATTACGCACCAAAACTCTTGGAACGTATACACCTAGAGTATAAACATTTGGGGGTAGTTATGAGATTTTATATTTAACCATAACTTCTACTGGGACGCTGTATTTTCCTTTTTATTATTCGCTGGAATCCGCCACTTACGAGTGGTTCTTTTTATATAGGCACGGTTAGGTCCCATGTTAGTACCCCCTGAAAACCTGTTTGATGCGTAATTAAATTAATAAGTAATTAAATTGTCTATTTTAAAGGAGTTGTTGTTATGTGCTTGAAAATAGGTGCTAAGAAGGTAAGTTGTGTGATTCTAGGTTGTAATAAGCATGTTAGTGTGTTTCATTTACGCTTATGAACTCAAAATTGTTGATTGTGTGTTTGTCTGTTTGTTGACCTTTTCGTTATCTTGGCTCTATGACTACCCATTTCTAATGGCGAGTAGTTGGGACAAAGTAAAGAGAAGCTTTTCAAGTGATGCAACATATTCATGTTGGGGCATGAGTGATGAGCCAATCGAGGGCTAGGTAGGCTAGTATGGCTAGCTGGGCTCCTTGCTGCAAGGCAAGGCTTGGCCGCAAGCCCAGCATGTATCGCATGCACTAGCTGGGCGAGCTAGCCGAGCAGCTATGCAGGCAAGGCTCGCCGCCGAGCAAACCATGCGTGGCTGGGCTGGTAGCCCATGCCGCAAGCAAGCAGCAGCGTGCCAACATGCAAGAGCTAGCAGCGAGGCGCGCTAGGCACAAGCTACTAGCACCAAGCTTGGTGCGTAGGAGCAGCAGCACCTAGCAACAAAGCAGCCCGCATTTACGAGGCTTGTTGTTGCGCGCTAGTGCGAGAAGGCCTAGCTGACAGGCCCAGACGAGGGACCAGGCGCCAGCATGGCTGCCTTGGTGTCGAAGGCAGGCTACCACTTAGCGCCATCCCATTGCACCAGGTTTTGTGAAAGCGTGGCTTGGAGAGCAAAGGGAAGGTGGTCCTCCCCTTGTAGTCCTCACCTACTCCCTTGCTCACCTTATGCCACTTGTTGTTTGATGATTGTTTTGGCTTTTTAATTTAATTTAGAGTCAAATTAAATCTTATTTTTGCTTTACCAACTATCCCACATTGAAAGATGATGGGAATTTTTGAGAACTTTTCCCTATAAATACCAATCATTGGGTATTGGTAAATTCACTTGAGTTGGTGAACTCTAAGGGATCTCCAAAAGCGAGAAAACCTAAAAGGAATAGTGTCCTTCCAACAAGTGTATTATTTCGATAGAGGGTTCGGAATAATTAGAAAGCTAATTCTTCAGTGAGGTTAAGTGAACGGAATACCTAGGTGGAGGCCGCTTCCGATCAGTAATATTAATGCATAATTAATATTACGGCTTAATCTTGACTGAACCCTCGGGTCGCACCCCAATCGAATAACCGATCCAAATCGAAGAATCAATCTGAAGAATTAGATGAGTCATTAGAGTATTACGAACAAAGACGTCGGATATCGAGCTTAGAGCGTCGAGACCGAGCGTCGCAAGTCGAGTTGAATTTAGAATTCGACGAGACGTGGAATCAAGCAAGCGACAAGTTCGAGATAAGACGTAGCCTCGCATTGGCCAAGCCATGCCAGTGCTAGGCTAGGCGAGGTCACCATCCCATGCATGCCTAGCATCGCCTAGCACACGCACATCGCATGGCCCAAGCATCGCAAGATGCGTGCCATGCGTGTGTGCGTGCTATTGTTGTGCAAGCATGGTTGGGTGTGCTTGCTAGCATAGCAGCACTAGCCATCGCAACATGCTAGGCATGGCCAAGCACCGTCCGCAAGCATCACAAGCATGGTGCCTTGCGTGCTTGCTAGCATACTATGCCAAGTACCCAGCCCATCGCTAGCATGAAGCATCGCACTTGCTAGCAGCGTGCTGTGCATGCGAGTGCTAGGCTATGCGTGCTTGCGAGGTGAGCAGCGCTTAGCACTAGCAGCTCTTGCTAGGCAGCGCCCAGCATACGCTAGGCAATAGCAGCAGCACGCATGGCATGCGTGGCTTGATGGCTGTGCACATGTGTGTGCTAGCTGGGCCGCTAGCACAGCCAAGGCACTAGGTGCCAGCTACGCTGCCTTGGGAGCCAAGGCTAGCTGGCTGCCAGCTGTCCCTAGGCCAGCGCACGGTCAAGGAGGGGACCAAAGGGGTTAGTGCTTGGCTTGGGGAGCAAGGTGAGTTGGTCCCCCCTTTGGTGGTCCTCACCTACTCTCTCCCTTCTTGTGCCACTTGGATCTTGTTGATTGCATTGCATTTTTATTTTGTTTTGATTAAAATAAAATAGAGGAAAATGCAAATCTCCCACATTGATGGGAGAAGGGAGATCAAGTCTCCATTCCCTATAAATACCCAAGTTTTGGGTTTGGGAAAAATCACTTGAGTTGAATACAAAAAGGCATCTCCTTATAAAGTGAGAAAACCTTTAAATTCGTAATATTCTAGTTTTGTTTGGTCAAATCCCGACTAACCTTCGGGATTAAGACCATTCGAGTCGGGTCGAGGGTGTGAGTCGTAGGAGGCCGTCGCACTTGCGAGGCTCGAGATTTGAAGTAGGAGCTCATGAATCGAGCGAAGCACGCGTCAAGGGTAAGAATGTCTTTTCTCTTTCTCTCTCTTATGTTGTTAATTATGTGATTGCATGTTTAGTTGCTTTAATTAGTGAGCGGGTCTTGGGCGGGTTTCCCTTCTGCGTAGCGTTAGACGCTACGAAACCCAACAAAACCTATGTTCGTAAACTCTAAGTTAATTTTGGTCTAGCCTCGTATAAGCTACGGGGTAGGGACCGGTTACGGTTCGGTAGAGGGTGTGAATCGTCGGAGGTTTTCGCACTTGCGGAACTTGAAGCTTTCAAGTCCGAGCTCATTGGTTGAGCGAAGCACGCTTCTAGGGTGATTATTCTTTTTCTCTCTTCTCTTGTATTTTT